TAATGCTGGGAGTTCAGGCGCCTCTTGAAGGCAGCCAGTTCAGTTGGTGATCGGTAGCAACCTGGGGATGCTGCCTCGTCCCTTAGCTGGGCCGAGCAACGCCAGCCCTATAAGCAGCGCTCCCTCCAAGCTGCGGGGTCTCGTGCGCAAAAATTCAATTTGGGGATTCAAGTGGTGAGCGAGGGATGTGGCTGCTGCAGCAATCAGTTTGCTCTGGAGCCCTCCTTCCCGAGCCGAGACAGAAATGTGTGAGCTGGAAGCTAAAAAAACCGTGAGCTAGCTCACACTCACCCCGCTTAGAGGGAACACTGCCTATCAACACCGCGACCGTATAAAGAAACCCGGGGACTTGGAGGGCACGCGTTCACAAGGGGGGCAGAGTCCGAAAGGCCCCATGTGCAATCGACTCCACCTCGGCCTCACACCAAGCCGCCCAAACAAGGCCTGGTGGTGAAGCCCCCCCATGGTGAAGCCAGCGGCCCTGGAAAGATGTCAGACGTGGGAACCTACCGGGAAATACTTTCTCGGTGGCTCCGAAAGGGAGCGTTTTGGGGGGAAGGAGTGGGGTGAAGAAGAGCCAAGCGGGCCCATGGCTAGGCCTGCCTCCGCTTATTTTGAAGGGGGGGGGGTCCAACAGCTGTGCGGGGAAGCCGAAGAACCCGGGGATACGGGGGGAGGCCTCTGCCAAACAGACACCCCAGCCGACAAGATTGCTCCGTGGATCGTGGCCAAGGGGGAGTCGTCCCTCCTCGCCGGCCGGCCTGGCAAAGCCAAGCGCAGCCAGCTAGGCCCAAGTTGCTCCCTTCTGCATTCCCCTCCCGCAAAAGCCTCCATTCCCGCAGACGTGGGGGGGAGCAAGCTTGCCTCTTTCCTCCTGGTCTCCGCGGGCTTCCAGGGGTGCCCACCGTGCCCCGCCATCCGCTCCCGTCAGTGGAAGGTCGCCCCGACTTTGCCGGAGGGACCCCGCGAAGAAACGCCGGGAGGGACGATCCGGAGGGCCGCCGAGGAGGCTCACGATTCGCCGCCGGGCGTCGCGGCGGGGAAATCGCCGCTCTCTCCCGGTAGACCCTCCAGGTCCCGATCCGGCTGGCGCTCGGAGGGAGCCCCCTTGTCTCGGCGTCCAGGGCCCAGCGCGGCCCGGACGTCGACGCTTGGGAGACATCGCCGGAGACCAGAGAAGACCCCCGGCGAGAAGCCGAGGGCGGTGGAGGCCAGCGCTCCCTCTAAGCGGAGTGAGTGTGAGCTAGCTCGCAGTTTTTTAGCCTCCGGCTCACACATTTTCGTCTCCGCTCGGGAAGGATGGGGCTCCAGAGCAAACTGATTGATGCAGCCGCCAAACCGCTCGCTCACGACTTGAATGCCAGGAGCTCACCAAGTAGAATTTTTGCTCACCAGATTGCACAGCTTAGAGGGAGCATTGGTGAAGCCTACTTTCGAGTAGGCGCGCCGGCGACCGAGCCTGCAGAGGGGCCTTTCGGCGTCTCCGGGCCTCCAGGCCTCGGCTGTGCGCGGCCCCTCTTTGTTCCAGGGAAACCGACACAGATAAGATAAAAAAAACCTCCCTCTGTCCATCTATCTACAGGCCGGCCGGCTCGATCGGCCTGTTAGGGTGAAGACGGGGGGGGGGACGGGGGGAGAATAGAAATATTGAAATCCGCAAAAAATAAAATAACAATGACACAAAACAAAAACACGACCCACAGGCCGCACGAAACCCCGCGCTTTCCCGGGGACTGGTTTTCTCCATCCGAGCGGTCTCTCCGCCGGGGGAGATCGAAGAGGAAGCGGACGACGATCCCTCCCGTTCAAGGTGACCGGGTTTGTCTCTGCTGCAGCGAGGGCAGGCAGAGAGAAAAAAGCATTAATGGAGCGACCCTAAAAGCTCCTAAGACAAGCCAGTCCCAGAATAGCAAAGGGGGCTGACTTCAAGGAACGCGCAGACGCCGAGGCCGCTCGGTCAGATTAGCGTGGGTCAAGGCGAACTTAAAATAATCTTGGGGGGGGGGGGGCACTGGCTGGG